GCCATGCGAGTTTCGGATGGAAGACTTCCATATTATTGCATACTTGGTGAGGAAGAAGTTTTCCCGAGTTTTTGATCTGTATTTCTCAACTTTGACCGAAGATACTTTGTTTCGAAGTCCGTATTCATGTGAATCTTGGGCAAGAATTATCTTACACGTTGAATAAGTAAGGTTTTTGAGTAGTTTGAAGTAGAGAATCAAATTAGACCTAAGCCTTCTCTTCCAAAGGGGTGCTATTCCTAAGATTTGGCATCGGGAACTATAGTCAATGACCAAGTCAGTCTTAAGTACCTTGCGAGTGAAGTCTCGTTGTATTCCTCCCACCTTTAGTATATCAGATACGCGTAGGTTGGAAAATAAGAACGAGCAGTATTCAGCGATAGGTCTTACACAAACTTTGTAAAGAAGGATTTTAGATTCATTTTGATAGAAATTACGGAGAATGAAGCCAAGCAATTTCCGCATTTTGGATGCTTTGGCTGAGATGTGTTCAGAGAAATTAAGACTGATAGGAATATCTGGAACTTGGATATCTTCTCAGTTTACGGGCCTGCAGCTAGCAATACCTGGGATTGACAGATAGTTTCTATTTAAACATTAAAATTAAAACACGAATTTCAGCGAAGGGATCTCTTTTCAACGAATTTATTATCAAACTGTACAATCGTATATATATGAAAATTTTGTTTTTGTAAGCGCACTAATTCCGTGAGGAAATGTGAACACGGTTAATAAAAAGGTTGTAATACTAGATTACGTAATATGAATAATAATAATAACAATAGATTTCGTGAATATAATAAGATGGGTAAACTGTTTTTGTTATAATAATTAAAGGTCATATGGGTGTAAAAATAAATATGGTGATATGGTGAGCATTCACGAATAGAAAGATGAAAATATAAAACATATGTAAAGGGGAGAATGCAGTAAAAATAATAATCATCGGACAATCAAAATACTTAAGGCCAAGGTCGCCCCTATGTGCATCTACCAGTTCACCTGCTCTTGTGGAACAAGGTACATTGGCCGTAGCTAGCGCTAGCTTTTAACTTGGATACGGGAACATATTCCAGCTTGGTTCTATAAGGGGGAAATGAAAGCAGTTAGGAGTTCTATACTTGGACATCTAATCCACTGTAACCATTCCACAGATCCAAAAAATGAATTTTAGGTTGTTTATATGATTCGTTCAAATCTACCCAGATTTCTTCGCATCCAACTTTTAAAAATAGCCGAAGCTCTTACCATCCAGGAGCTTAAACCAGAACTATGCGTACAAAAGAAGTACGTCTTATCGTTACCTTGGCCTTAAGTATTTTGATTATCCAATTATTATTATTATTATTATTACAGCATTCTCCCCTTTACTTATGTCTTATATTTTCATCGTTTTATTCGTGAATACTCACCATATCACCATATTTATTTTTACACCCATATGACCTTTAATTATTATAACAAAAACAGTTTACCCATCTTATTATATTCACGAAATCTATTGTTATTTTTATTATTCATATTACGTAATCTAGTATTACAACCTTTTTATTAACTGTGTTCACATTTCCTCACGGAATTAGTACGTTTACAAAAACAAAATTTTCATATATATACGATTGTACAGTTTGGTAATAAATTCGTTGAAAAGAGATCCCTTCGCTGAACTTCGTGTTTTAATACCTGGGATGTCTTTATTTCGCAACGACAGAAAAAACAGGAATTGGGGGTGGAGAAGCCGTATACAAACGATCTTGCTTGCACCAGGCTCACAACCCTGAGTTTAACAATCTTCAGGAATCATTATGGTGCTCTGTAAGATTGTCCACTAGTCGGAGCCATATATAAGAAGCCCACTGTCGACATCGAGTATGATAGTCGTATGCTGGAAAGATTTTACTGATCTACGCGTCTCGGATTCACTCATATACTGATCCTAGTGAAATTCAAACTTTCTAAAGTCAATTTCGTGGAAGATACAGATATTGCAGCTGAGAACTGTAAGGAAGCTCATTTCTTCAACCTCATTGAGGATCTGGGATTATTATTGCTAATAATAATTTATTCTCAAATAACATTTTGTCACATGAGGCATGCCAGTTTACAGGTAAGATCAGATTGATACAAATGATACAATATCCACTGCAGTAAATTACATAGCTGGGAACTGAAAGCTAGGGTTAGGACCATCAAGTCATGATTAATAAACAATGAATAATAGGAAAGGATAAGCCATATATTCTGTGATTTGGTTATATTCATATTAGTAACAGTCGAACTTGTTATAATTTTGTTCTTTCTAGATACTAGGCGGTCCGTAATAAAGTGCCTCATTGGTGGGCGGGAGTTCAAGGAAATGTTGAAGCTGTTTGGAGTCTAGAAATAGGGTTATTAGCTTTTTGAATCTAGTGAACGTATCACAGTTACGGATAGGCATTGGCAGCCTGTTCCACAATAATCTGAACCGTACTGTAAAGAACTTACATTGCATTTGTTTTTGGTGTTTTACGGTTAGTAGTGTATATGCGTTGTTTCTAAGTCTACAGGCTTGGTCGTAGGTGATAGTTGGACAGGAGGTTAGAAAGGAGAGCCCATATATCGCTTTGTAGAGAAATAATAAATTGCTTTTTAGCCTACGGTGCCATAAAGGTTCCAAAGATAGATACTTACATCTGTCTGTGTGATCGAGACTCGAGTTACATCCTAGTAGTTGAAGTGTGAAACGTCTTTGAACATCTACTCTTATCTTGTCTGTGATATTCATATTAGAGAAGACAAAAGAGCAGTATTCAAGGGAGGGTCGTACACATATTTTGTAGAGAGTAAGTTTATCCTCTGTTGTGAAAAAGTTTTTCATTATAAAACCAATTAGTCGTCTAGATTTAAAAATAATAGACGAGGCATTTTCTTCAAAGTTCAGGCTTTCTGTGTAATTAATTCCTAAATCGTGTACTGATTCAAGTGTTTGGACTCTACATTCATCTAAGTAAAGTTGCGGTTTATAGGGATGCTTCCCAAAGTGCATGATCCCGCACTTGTTGAGGTTAAATGGTAATTGCCATTTTTCACTCCATATAGTTAAGTTATTGAGGTCCTTTTGAATCTGGGATACACTTTCGCTTAGTGTCTCAGGCTTATAGCTGTATACTATTTTGAGATCATCAGCATATAATTATGGTCTCCCAAATTCTATGATGTTACATGTATCGCTTATATACATAAGAATTAGAAGTGGACCGAATACGCTTCCCTGGATGACTCCACTGATGATTGGCCTAGGGGACGAGAGACAGTCATTGTACTTTACCATGTTTACGTTCTCTTGAGAACAAGGCAAACCATGAGTACAGTGGGTTGTGTATTCCGAAGGACTTTAGTTTGACGAGTAGCCCTTTGTGTGGGACCTTATCAAAAGCTTTCTTAAAGTCTAGCAATAGGACTGATACAATGAGTCCGCTGTCTCGTTTCAGAGTTATATCATTCAGGTAGTCTACTAGGAATGTATCGCATGCTCTCGACCTAAGAAATCCATGCTGGGATGTCGAGATGAGATTATTAGTTAGTAGATGTTGGACTACAGCCGCCTTAACTACATTTTCTATCACTCTGGATACCACTGAAGTTATGTTTATAGGCCGGTAATTTTCAACGTTTGCTTCAGGTCCTGTTTTAATTTTGGGAATGATATGTGTAGATTTCCAGGCAGTGGGGTAACACGCTGAAGAGAGTGATATCGCGAATAGTTTGAGAAGCAAAACACACATATCATCACCTCAACTTTTTTATCATGCTAGATGGAATACCATCTGGTCCATCAGTGTAGGAGTGTTTCAATGTACTGATTGCCTTGGAGATATTTTGTACACTGAATTCTACATTAGTAATTTCACAGGGAGTTACTGGGATTGGTTCTGAATCATTAAGTGGTTTTTCGTTAGTTAGTGAGAAACAAAAATGTTCACTAAATAATTCTGTGACAAGTTTGGGATCTTCGTATACTTGTTTGCCTTTAATGAATATACTCCCTCTCGATTTGGAGCGTTTAAGTTTATTTTGGAGTAGTATGGTGAGTGCAGAGGAGTTATTATTAAGTTCAACAGCACGTTTTTTCTGTGCTACTGCTTTTTGTTTACTTATTGCCTCTGTTCGGACAAGTATTTCTGCCATCGTTATTAAAGAGGAAAAGTCATTTAAGTTGTGGAATCGAGTACAACGTCTTTGAAGACGTCTTCTTGTACTGACCGGTATATAGAGATCTTTGGAGAACGCAGGTTTACAGTACTCTAAAGGTGCGATGTTGTTGATGATACTTTTGATGTTGTGATAAAATATATTGGTTAATGTGTTGGTATTGTTTGAGGTAAAGTAAGTTCCCCAATCAGTGCTTCTTAGGTAATTGTGGAAGTTATTCCAATCAACCTTGCGATAGTTTCTACGAAGTGTTACGGTTTTACTTCTATCGGTTGTGGTTTTTACATTAAGGCTGCATATGACAATGTTATGATTACTACCTAGAAATGTTTTTCCAATATACAAAGTATTGGGGATGAGGCCACTGGTAAAGACTAAGTCCAAGATGTTTTGATGTTTGGTAGGGCTATCGACATACTGAGTCCATTGTCCGAGCTCTAGACATTCAATAAATGATTCATAACGTCTCGGCGCTTTGACTGGCAGCCAAGAAATTTCGGGCATATTGAAGTCACCACAAATGAGCTTGCCTGTGAATGAGAGGGATGATGCTAGTGTGAATACCTCCGATAATACTGCTATTTCATCTATTAATGCGTTAGGTTGACGATAAACACAACCGAGCAGTAAAGTAACGGAATTCCACGGCTTTATTACAATCCACACCGAATCCTTCAGTTTGTTTAGTTCAGGCATATCACATATTAGTGAGTTTAGACTAGAGTGAGCGTAAATAAGGCATCCTCCGCCTCGTACATTCAATTCGTCGCTTCTATATAGGAAAAAGTTATCAAAAGATATACTCTTAACTAAGATGGGTGTGTGCGGTCGGGAAGGAGGACATCACTCTCTTCAGCCACAAACTCCAAAATACACTCAGCTTTAGTGAGTTGCTCTAGATTTCTGTCTGTGTCAAGGCCCCATATATGAGTGAGGGGTGCTAATTGCTCAAGTTTGCCGTTAATTTCGGATAGAGAGTTTTGTAGCTGTCGGATGTCATTACTATATCTATCAGTATTTTGGTGTGTATGAGGTGGACCATTGGACTCTTTAGTTTTTGAAATTTTAGACTTAGGCCTTGGTAGCACATACTGTCTAGTAGACTGTGCTGACTTTTCGATGCACGTAGGTATAGTGCCTTGTATGTCAATCAGTATTACCGTTGGCATACTGCACGTAGAGATAGAGGGGCTGCGACATCGAGAATCTGTTGACGATAGAGACATTTGTGTACAATACACATATTTTTCAGTAGTTAAAGGTTCGACATTGTCAAGCACTGAGTCATCAGTTGTAGGGGTTACAGATTTGGACCTTTTATTTGGCTTAAAATTTGGTGAAACTCCACTTTTACTGGAGTTATTGGACATGATATGAAAATAAGTGAGCACAGTGCTCGTTAAATTAAATATAATATCTGAGTATTAGTTGTTATTAAGTATTAACCTGGTTAATACTGGGATTAGAGGCTGTGAGTATATAATAAATTGCAGATCTATTTACGACTTAAGTCCGCAATAGGTACAATACGTTCTGGTAATTGTCCGTCGAATAAAAGTAAGTTTTTTTCTTATGTTTCGGGGTAATATGTCCTCGATGTACAGAATAGGATGATAATCACAGTATAGTACACCCTACAAAAGAGCAAGTCGAAGAATTCCTAAACCACGTGAAAAAATGTTACCACTTTCAAAGTTCGCGCCGTTTTATAACAGACAAAATGAACGTAACGGCTCACCAGAACTTGAGAGGGTTTAATGAACACAAAAGAAAAACTGACAGCTCACTGACTTTTCTTCAATCATTGATAAACATGATGCATTGAATATGCATCACTTAACTTGGGATTTCGAACAAAACTGCAGAGCATGCACATTCATTTGATCAATCGAATTCACATCAGGTAAATTAAATATGGCGAAAAGTGTACACCCTTTTTTATTAAATGATCCAACACATCGTGTGAATAATTAGTGTCCCATAAGGTTCATACAGACAAACATAAAAGAGAAGCTCACGCGTTTTAAATTGAAATCATAAACTGCCTATACATTAACGCCGCGAGTTTACCGAATAAATTGGATGAGCTACTTGAACCTAGCAATGCGAATAATGCTCATCTGGTAGGAATATCTGGAACTTGGATATCTTCTCAGTTTATGGGCCAGTAGCTAGCAATACCTTGGATGTGTTTGTTTCGCAATGACGGAAAAACAGAAAATGAGGGCGAAGTAGCTCTATACTTACGATCCTGCTTGGAGGTACATCAAGTACACAACCAAGAGTTCGTGAATCTTGATGAACCTGCATGGTGCTCAGTAGGATTGTCTACCACTTCGAGGTGTCTGTTTGGGGTCATCTACAGGAAGCCTACTGCTGACATCGAGTACGACAATCGTATGCCAGAAAAATTACACTGCTCTACGCGTCTCGAATTCACTCATATACCGATCCTAAGGGAATTCAATCTTCTTAAAGTCAATTTCGTGGAACATACGTATATTGCAGGCACTATTTGTTGGAATACAAACGAACTGATAACAACGACGCATACAGACAATACAAATATATAAGGAACATATTCACAAAAGCAATAAGAGAATATAGGACTCAGTGCCAGATAAGCCTTATGGATAGATTTGTCTCTAATCCAAAAAGCTTATCTCGTTATGCAGCCTCTCTTCGATAAGCAAGACTGGAGTTCCACAACTGCTGGGTCTTAATGGTCCGACCAATAACGACGGTGACGCCGCTAATCTTCTGGCTGAACAATACTCTTGAACATTTCAACCAATCCACATTAACTATATTGATGAAAGCTTCACCTGCAACTGCACAGGACTTTCCGGAGTGAACCTGAGCGCTGACTTGATGTACCGAAATTGCAGCACCTAAGAAGAGACACTTCTCCTGGTCCGGATATGGTTCATTATGCTTTACCGAGGGAACGAGCTTTGTAGTGGCATCGGGCCCGAACTACACAATCCTCAATGCTCAACACGAGAAATAGATTTTCAACACTTAACGCGGAGAAAAACCCAACGATGAGGAAGGTGGGAACAATGAATGGGATCAATTCGAGTTGATAAGATGGCATGGCTCGGCTTTGTAGGCGTGATCCTTGTTGAATGTTATCTGATATCCTATAATCACATTAAATATATCATTCTATCTCTAGTCTAAACTTGTTCTCTATCATGTATTGGTGATTGTTACGATGAGAATTAGTCGGGGTAGATAATGATGTGACCTCCACGTAAGATCTAATTTATTAAACAGTAGCATCGTGATAAATCCACAATTTCGGGATCAGGTCTATTATTATCATAGCAGACCATAGCTTCAATCGTAGCAACACGGCTTAGGGCGATGTTCTCACACTCGCGAAACCGAGACAAATTACCGGAAATTTGGAAGCTCGCTGACATCACACCAAATTTCAAAGGAGGTCAACCGTGCGAACCTTCAAGCTACCGAGCAGTGACTCCTCTCTATACCTTCAAAAATTATGGGGTCTCTGATATGCGATGGTATACATGACTATTTATTATCCTTAAACTTCTTCCCACCTCAACAGCATGGTTTCAGGAAAGGTCATTCATGCATAACCCACCTACTGATCGTGGTGGTTAGATGCACAACCATCCTTGATCGCAAGGGGAAAGTTGACATCAGTCACCTTGATTTCTCAAAAGCCTTTGATAGGGACAACCATATATGTCTTATCAATAAGCTGAAACGATTGGGTATCAGACCACCCATAATTGATTGGCTCACTTCATATCTGAAAAAATGACATTCTAAGGTCAAGGTTAACTTCAATTTCTCTCAGGCTATGGAATATCCTAGTGAGGTCCCCCAGGGTTCGGTACTAAAATCTCTTCTCTTCATGATTTATATAAAAGATCTTTCACATCAGGTATTGTCTGAATTGTTACTTTTTACTGATGATGTGAAACTTTGCAGAGAGATATGCAACGAAGAGGATATACAGGCACTTCAGGAGGATCTGACTTGACTGCAAAGTTGGGCAGACGATAACAGACTTACCTTTAACACTTCAAAGTGTAAAGTATTTCATCTGAAACGTGTTGCAGACTACAATTACAACTGAAGGAACTTCTCATTAGTAGTATCTCAAGTCGAGAAATATTTGAGAGTCCTGGTACCCTATGATTTGAAGTCATTAGCTAACTGTGACAAAAATGTCTTTCCTGTAAACCTTGCACTGGTAACATTGAAGCGCATTTTTGCCAGTTTGACGGAAGAATGGCGATGGATTTTGGGTCATCCTTTGTGTACCTGAGTGAAAGCTATTGTCAAACTATAGGCGTAAACTTATTCGACAGTTAGATTTCTGGTTACGGAGTCTCGGCGGATATTTCAAATGATAGAGGAGCTCAACTCAAGAGTTCTCTCTCCCATCAAACCACAGAGCTTCTTAGAATCAAACGTATTCACACAGAATCCTATCATATCATTTCCAATGGTGTGAAATCTGACTCCAAGTAGATGGTTTCTGATTGTTATGGAATTAATGCTATCGTAATATATAACATGGCTACCCTCGTACATAATCATCGACTTAACTCTTGTTAATGAATGACGGAATTAAATAACTAACATACGAAAATAGATTTTGAATACGTATTTTTCATACAATCGTTGATTCGAAAGCGCAGCGAAACGAAATAACGCGTGATGAAGGAGGTTAGTGCGCCAACTCGACTTAAAAAAGCGTGAGTAGATATTTATAGTCACATAAAAAATAAGCTACGGACATTTGATGTGTAAAATAAAAAATGCACACACACATAGAAAATTTCGTGTAACGTTCAAAGCAATTTCTAATTGACTTGAAAAATTTCCCAAAGATCACAGCAGTGACGAATATGCACGTCACTAATAATGAATATCGGTACTCATGTCTTCATTCAAAGAGACTGCATCCAGTGGCCCTTTCAAACGACTGATGATGGCCAGTTTAAAATAGTTTGGTAGGATTGCATAACAATCACTGTGAAATAAAAAAATAACTAACGTAATCAGTGTCAATCAGAATTCAGCAAAGGTGAAGAACAGACGACAAACAGATCAACACATTACTGAAACATCAGTCTTAGTCATTGGGAAGAGAAATGTAAAGGAGAAGCATGGCGTCTTGAACAACGACTGGATAGCAGGCAGAATTACATTTTGACTCATTGTGGATCCCGCTCAACATTACTTCCATTTTTCATTCAATATGATTACTATTCAGAGCAATACATGTTGTCATTCCTGTTTTCTATTTTATTCAATATAACACTGATTTTTGATCAGGAAACAACATTCTCACCCACGAAACCAAAGGATGATCACCTCTTCTTTACTAAAAATCTATACAGGTCATATCTTTAAAGTTAACCACTGAAGAAGTTACGCCACGACTGTCATCATCAATAATGAAAAATAATATGGAAGACTTGAAGTACCCGTTATTACGACATTTTACACATCTAACTTTGCGTTGACATATTCTAGTAGACAACTGATATCTAATAAAACAAAGCACAAATCGTCCGAGATTACCTTTAAGATGTCCAACGATAAGTTGAGCCGTTCATGCTCAGACATCTGTATTCTGCGTACAATAGAGCAACTTGACCAACATATGGGTGAACATCCCCTAGCTTGGTTAGGAAAACGCCAGACGAAGATAATGCACAGCCCTCTCTTGGCAGTGGTCGTGTGGTAGATAAAACGTAATCATTTTCAGTGATCTTCTATGAAGCTTCATCATTTTATGATGGGCTTCCATTCTGTGTCCTACAAATATCAAAGGCTTTAGGGATCCGAACTTATAACACTAGTTTATGTGTTCAGAAGAATTTAGTGACACCACTGTCACATCATTGGCCGGTTATCACTAAACATACGATCTCATTGATGTTTTCGCATCCTGTATACGTTTATCACTTTTCACCTCCTTCCGTTTATTTTCCTCACTAAGTATATAATTACACACTCTCTACTACACAATTTAAATTTTGTTTGTTGATTGCAATTTTAGAGTCCATTTATCTAAGCGTGACCTACTTTCATTGTATAGCAATTGACTAGAACGTTTGTCATTTCATTTTTTATCACTACTCGTACACCTTTCTTCTTCTTATTGATTTTCACTTTATAATATGTAGTTGTACAATCTATTGCATCACGATTATTGACTCGTTAATTCCCTTGAATAGTTTAGTGTTTTTATTAACTCATACATTCGTGTATATTAGGTTGACGCCACATGCAGATCTACGTAAAATCAAAGTTGTTCGCTTACATGTGTTATTCTAATTTTTAAAATGACAATGTGCATTATTACAAATTTAAAAAA